ATTACAGTGCCATGTGATCATCAAGAAATGGACTGTTCCCCATACTGTAAAGTCAGGGTTTAATCTTGTATTCAGTGTGATGCAGACCCGATGAACACTACCATATTAGTGTTACTTAGTGTCATTCTTGGAGCTAAATTTTGTTTTATAAATTATTTGTAGATGTACCACAACTGTTCATGTATTGGGAAACCAAAAGGAGAATATAGTTCAGAAGACTTTCTCTATGAAGCTGTCCCTGGGAAATGTCCAACACAATGCAGATTCTTACCTTTGTTCCTAACCTTCTTCTTTTTTGCTGTTGTTTTTACATTTATGGCTGTTACTCCAACAACTGTGGCCATTCTCAGGTACGTTTTTTGGGCTGAGAAGTGGGTAGCATTCTTGTGAAAATTCAGATCAATGAAATACTTTACTTTGTTTTGCTTTAGAATTTGGACTTAAAGCAATGCACAAGGAATTTCCTGTTACAGTACTTTGTAGTAAGCAGGTTGTACTTGAAGAGGAGGACAGTAGTATAACTGTTCGCTGTCTGTGTAATTACATTTGGTTAGTAAATGCTGTTTGAATCTGTTAAAAAAAATCTTTCCTACTTGTAGCAAAATCCCTCTTCTATGGGAGCACTCCTCATTGTTTTATTCAAAGCAAGAAAAGAACAAAATAGCAATTGGTCTTATATTCTCAACCTTTGATTCCTGTCTTATGTCAGAGTTCTGATGTGTGAACTTGTAGTCTGTCAAGAACCATAGACTATCTTTCACATGATATTGACTTTGTATGTGTAGTAGTCATTAACATAAAACATGATGGCATGTGGCCACGTTAACCAGTAGTCTGACTGTCTAATTGCTGAAACCCATACGCATGAAAGCTAGCTACTTTTTTTCAGTATGTGGTCCTCATTCTGAAAGTAGAGCTGTTTCTCTTTATGTTGAAACCTGACTTGTACCTCTAATGCTTCTAGAGAGAAAATGTTCACGATGCATAGACATGCCTTTACTATATGCAGGATGCTTTGGGAGGGTGCAGTTAGATGCTCTTTTCCAAACTTCTGGGCAGCAGGTTGAGGAGGGGAGTGATGCACTGCAACAGTGCTTTGTAGTAGCCTCCTGTTCAGGAGTGGTGTGAATCTGTAATTAACAGCTTGTCATATTAGTGTGGGGGCAGAGTAACGTGAGGTATTGCATTATCTTCAAAACTGAGCTACAATAGTTTTATTTAGATAAATCTAAGCAATAACATCTGGAATTTTGAATCCTTGTCCACTTCCTCTGAAATTGCAGAAGTTTTTATGGAAGAGAGGGCTGTAGAGCAGTTTAATTGTGCAAAAACTAGTTTAAATAGCTAAATATGAGTGTAAATAAAGTGCATTCTGATAATTTTTCAGCGAGCCTACTTTGTGCAACTTTAAGTGTAAACCCACATACTTGTGACAGTGCTAGAAATAACCACACACACCATGTAAAACTTGTTCTCCTTCTTCTACTTGGTTTTATGGGTAGAGGGGTCCTAACAGTGACCGCTGATAACTGCTCATCTTGGATGTTTTTCTATGGCTAATCCTCGTAAATACTCCAGAATGAGGGAATAACTGCTGGATATTTAAATACTGTCTTTTTTAGCACTGACAGTGCTTCAACGTTACAGTTTACTAAAGAAAACAGTGCTGAAACTAGATTGTATAAATTAGTTAAGTTCTATTTAATCTTTATGCAAGTATGTTTAAGACACTGTCAGGATAAAATATTTGTTGCTAGAGAAGTATCTGAAAGAAATGGGTAGGAGGTAAGGAGGTAAACTCTGTTAGTTGTTAAATCAATATATTGATTTGTATAGCATAGGCCAGAACTGATTAATTGTAAGGTCAGGTGACTATATGTAAAGGTTATGGGAAATATAACACCTTGTGTTGTACTGAAGCCTAGTCTCAATTTTTGCTTCTTTAAGAATAGTAGTTCAGGATTGCATTCTAGCACTGTCCTTAAATCCTTGGTGGTTCTGTGCAAAAAATGTTCAACAGTGTATTCAGGGTGCTGCTGGTAAGCTAGCTTTTTAGTTATACCATTTTGTTAAACTAGTTCAATCTAAAATTCCTTGATGAGCTATAGGAGTTGCTTCTGTCTTTTGTCAAAACATGTCTTGAAGTTCCTTAGTGCCTTATTCTGCACACTGGATTTCTAAAAACCTCTGCAATTAACAGGTTAAAAGAGTATATGTAAAGCAGAGAAATGGAACAGTTAAAGAGTATATGCAAAGCAGAAAGGGACAAAGCAGAGAAATGGCACAGTTAAAACTTGTTTACCAAGTCTTAAACTGCAAATCTTGTTTACAGGTGTGTGCCAGATAAACAGCGCTCATTTGCTCTTGGAGTACAGTCAGTGTTTCTACGACTACTGGGTATGACTTTCTTGTTGAAACACTTGCCTCTGAATAATCTACTTATCTGATGGTTTTTTAGACTTAAAAAATAATGCATTATGAAGCTTTGAGGAGCTTGAAGCAGCCTGTCATTGGCTTATAGAATAGGCTTGTTATAAGGCAGATGCCATCTGGATTCAAGTTCCTCTTTAAACAGGGCATATGTGCTCATTTTAGCCTTTCTTGTTCTTATCATCATGAACAAAATGTGGGTAACTGTCATTCTTTCAGCAAAAGGCATCTGCTCTCACTTCCCACAGAAGGAGGCCTATTGTGAAAGCTGAGATAAGAAAAAGTGATGTAATAGAAAACAGCTTCTGGTAGTTAATAAGTTCCTGAACTTAAAAGAAAGTGACACTGTCTTAGTTGTATTCTTATTGGTCATGCCAGTGTATTTTAAAGTGGATAGGTGGAGTCTTCCCTTTTCCCTCTTCCCTTCCAATTACTTTGACTAATTTTAGCCTTTATTGAAATTGTAGGCACTTGTACATAAATAATTATTGAGTTATTATGTGGGAAATCTACTACTTGAATTCTGAATCTAAGCATATCCAGGATTGCAGTAAGACAGGTGGATCGCTTTAATTAAAACAAAGCTAAATGTAGGTATTCTCTGAACCACTCATTTGAAATTTTTCAGGCATATTTTAAACTCTTGGTTTTGTCTTAGGCACTCTTTAAATGACATGTGAATTTTAAGACTGGGTCAAGGCTCAGTTACTGAGTAGACTTTTGTCAATATTTAGTACTGCAGCCATTCCCTGCATTTTGAGATCAAATATCTAGCAGTGTGACTTCTGCTTTGCTGTATCTATTGAAACTCCACTTGATCTAAGCCATTCTACCAGTAAAGCATAGCAAAAGTAAGCATCCTCACAGGTAGAAATTAGGTGGAACTTAGTAATTGTCATGTGAGGGCTTCTCTGTTTCATTTTACTCTCAGTTAAGTTATCTATATCAGAGTCTTAACTCTTGACTGCCCCGTGGAACAGAGGTTGGAGAGATTTTTGCACTGCCTGTACTGTCTGTAGTTGAAGAAGGCAGCAACTAGCAAACTAACAGCATTACTACCAATAAGATCTTTATGCTGTAGACTTGAGGAATCACGCAGGGGTCCTAGACAGAAGAGCTGTAGTGACGACATAGCTGCCTGTAAGCTCAAGAACAGTTTAGACCTTAAGTAGGTTAGGTAGACATGCAGTGAGGTACCTAGAGTGTTTGTAATAAAATTGGCTATACCTGGTTGCAAAACACTTGTCCTTATATATTTGTTTTGACAAAAATCACACAAACACTACTGACTTTACATGAAACTTCTGCTAGAAGCTTGACTACTTCTGAGGGGTGGAAAAACTGTATAATTGAACACGTTAACATAACATGTTAGTTCTCTGCATTTGGAACAGGTTAGTGTATATAATCTGATGGAAGGGACTTCTTTCCCTTCAGTTAAGTTCCTGCTTGGAACTTGATTGGCTGTTTTTACCCCTAATTTTAATCACATTTTTCTTGTCCAATGAAAACCGAGGAAGTTACGAGAAGTTCAAGTCTGAACAAAATACTTGCTTGATAAAGTGAGAGCTGTGCAAAGAATTGACTGACATTCTATGCATCCTATGTATTGAGAGCAATGGAAGACGTTCACTTGCTATGTAATAGGAGTCCTATGACTTTGATTAAAAAGTTGTTTGCTGTGTGGCTGTCCCATTTTATCTTCCCCACCAGCTTGGCACTTCACTGCATGCATTAAGACCAGGTAAGACTATTGCAAGTAACTCAAACATTCTAACATGTTCCTGTGGCTTTTAGGTACTATTCCTGGACCAATTTTGTTTGGAGTTGCTATAGACAACAGTTGTACTCTGTGGGATGTTGATGAATGTAAAACTAAAGGAGCCTGTTGGGTTTATGACAATGAAAGGATGGCTTATCTGCTGATGGGCATAAGTAAGTGACTTCTTATATTAAGTACATGTACAAGGTAATAGATATACTGACCTTGACTGCTAGATGCAAATCACTTTAAAATATTAAACTTTTATTTTCTAGCAGCAGTGTTTTTTAAGAATATTTTTTTTCATAAATAATAAAAAGCAAAATATGGAAAGAGCAAGGCTGTGTTAAGTGGCTCTTGTTACCTAGAGAACTTTTTTAATAACAATACAAAATAGTTTTGCTCTTTGGTCTTTCTTCATTGTCACACTTTATTTACTGAATTTTAAGGGACTGGCGTACATTTCAGTTGTATCTGGCTTGTTGGCAGCTTAACGTCTGAGGAGCTTAATTCCTCTTGTCATATTTCAGTTCTTTCCCCTAAATTAATATCAAGATCTCAAAAATATCTCTGAACACTAGTAAAAAAATTTCCCAACTTGTTTAACAGTCTGTCTTCAAGTGTGTGAGGTATGTCTGTCTGGTGGAGTGAAGGCAGGCTAAGCTTGCATCTGTGATATCTGCTGTTGTCCTGTTTTCTATCAACTGTGATACAGTGCATAAACTGACTGCCAACATCTAATCTTGAAACTGAAAAAGCAGGAGTCACAACTCCAGGCTTCAGCATCTCAGGCATATTTGTGATAAAATACAATCTCTCCTCTTTTCCCCCTCTCCTTGCTCCCCCCGAGTTGAACAAACACCACTATGTATCAGCTGAGGAGAGAATACTGAACAGGTTTGTAGATGGGGAGTTTTAGTTTGTGGCAAAGAGAATATTGATGCAGTGAAGAACAGTAGTGAAACAAGAAGTAAGGAAGACTTGCACTTGAGGCTAGAATGGGGTGAAGAAACACAGAACTGCAGTAATGGCAGTAGCTGCTGCAAGCAAAAACTGGCAGGCAGGTGAGGGGTCTGAAGTCAGTTGGAAGACTGCCTTTACCTGCCCTTTTCAGTTCATGTAGAATACACTGAAATTCACAGCATCCATCTAAAAGTCTTAGTGTAATTCACCAGGTGAAACTTTTTAAACAACTGAAATAGTCTTGTCTGCTATTGAATGTGACTTCAACAAGGACTGTTCTACTCTTTGCATTCAGGTGCTGCTTGCAAAATCATCACGATCATCTTTGTAGTCATGGCAGTATGTTTGTATAAGCCTCCACCAGCAAGTGCAGCCCTGTCACAAAAGGATTCAGAAATGGTATCGGCTATACACACGTAAATCATGAGCAAATGGGGGCTTTTGAAAGAAGCCAATAAGAATAAGCACTGCTACAACACTTGTACCAAAGTTCTTGTATGCCATTACCTAAATATAAAGGATCATACTCAGTTCTTGAACAACTTAAAATATTTGTGAATGTGTAGTGTTCTCAAACTTGCTAAACATACTTTTTAGTGTTCCATTGCATATATCCAAAAAAGTGACACTTAAATTCACAGTCTAAATTATAATTTAAGTGAAACAAGGTGGAATACTCCAACCAAAAAAAAACCAGGAAAAATGAGCCGAACTGGGCTGACTGTAAGCCACATTTCCCCCTGCTTACAAAGTAATACCTAAGTGAGACTGTACTGGGAGAAAACAAGTAACTTGGTATGTTAAAGGGGACTGTGGATGTTTAAAATGGACTTACTTTAATGTGCACATAACCTGGGCTAGTGCCTTTGGGGATTTTGACTGTAAATATACTTGGGAATGTGCAAGTATGGACATGTGTTAAAAATATTTTTACATATCTTAATGTCATAAGTTCACTTTTTGTTATTTGTAGAAAAACATAAATAATTATTATAGGATAGCTGGGTTTGTAGCATCAAAATGTTTGTTAAATTAAGTGCATGAGTTTCTATCTGGAACATATACAGAAAGTTCTCCAGATACTTTCTTTAGGCATTGTTAACATTTTTGTATAAAATTTGAAAATAAACCCTATTTTCTTACTACTTCTGTGTATGCTATGTCATTTCTAAGTAACTGAGTTTTAGGCTTCTTGGCTCCAAGAAACCAAATGCTGAAAGCTAGGAAAGAATACATGCACAAAAGAATCAAAAGCAGGAAAATAGAGCTTTAGTTGTTCCTTCTGACTTACGCACTGCATGCTATTAAAACTATTTGCATAGCACAATGGATATGCTGTACTAATTAGCCACTCTTACCACGTATTAAACTATATTGCCTGCTATGGAAATATAATTCGATAGTGACTGGAAATTTTTAGTGAGCAAGATGTCCTCTGCACTTGCTTTAGTCTGTTAAGGTAAACTTACTTTCTGTTGCACTGGCTATGCGCGTCACTTAAGTAGCAGTTTGTGCCTTTTTCATCCGGTTACATGGACTGTACTCACTGACTCTACTAAGATTTTTAAACAAGTGCTACAGCAAAGGATTTTGGCATGTGGGTCATGTTTCATCTAATTCTTTAAATGCAGCTGTTAAACTAGGTAGAGGTTAAGTACATGACTGAGGAAGAAGATCCTCTATAACTATTTAGAAAGAACTGTTCAGGAAATAAAGCAAAATAGACTATACCACCTGAAAGCATAAAACATCATGGCTTCTGAGGCAGAGGAGGAAAGGGGCAGAACGTAACAACTGAATTTATGCTTGCTCTATTTAGCTGAATGTCTCCTGAAAACATAGTTTCCTGACGAATAGGCTCATAGCAAGATGAGTAGCTTCCCTTGATAGAACTAAATAGAAAGATCTGAACTTCTGTAAAGTTTGGGAATAAGGCCTAAAATTCTGAATTCAGTTTCCAGCCCTGACATGGTTTGTGTGGGGTATAGCAAATCACTTAATCATAGTAAAAATGTGCAGTATGGTAGCTAAACAGGTAAATTTGCTTCATTTATTCTGTCTTAGGCGTGAGATGATAGTTTACAGTTTCTGCTGCTTAATGTGATTGCACAGATTGCAAAACTTGCAGGGCAGACCAACAGGAGCTTCCTCTTCTGAGGAAGTTATCACTTTTAGTTGCACTGGGTGGTTATTTGGGTAGAGAAGGAAGGAAGTATTGCCATGGTGTAAAATTACAGTTAATGCTAAAGGCTGTTGCAATTATTATCTAGCCTATAACTTGCTAAATATGATGTTCTCTAGTTTAGGGAGAGCAGCACTATGGTTAGAAGAGAGGCAAAATACTTAGTACTGGGCAAGTTTGCGAGTTTACCTTGTGTCATAGCAATATGTCCAGTTCTGGACTCTCCAGGACACAAGCTTTACAGACTTACTGGTGGGAGTGTGATGCAGGGCTGCAAAGATGAATAAAGGGCTGGATTATCTTTCATACAAAGAATGCTGGGGAGGCTCTCTTCAACCATGAAAAGAGAAGGCTCATGGAGATCAGAGCCTTGAAGAAGAGGAAGCCAGACTCTTCTTATCAATGCGCAGTTGACAGGACAAGAGGCAAGGGGCACAAACTAAAACACATGAAGTTCCAAACACAAGAATTTTTTTAACTGTGAAGGTGGTCAAACACTGGAGCAGGTTGCCTGAGAAACTGTGGCGTCACCATTCTTGGAGGTGTTTAAAACCTGACTGAGCATGATCCTGAGTAATCTCTTCTGGCTGATCTTCCTTGAGCAGGGGGGTTCTACTAGATGATCTCAAGCACTGCCTTCCAACCTAAATAGTTCTGTATTTCTGTGAGATGCTCCTGTGTGACCTTTGTTTTATTTACTGTATGATGTATAACTTCTATGTGGATTCTTGCAAGGGAAGACCTATCTGTTCTTGCAAACTGTTCTCTGGTTTCTTTTTTGGTGTTTTCATACAGAATCACAGAACGGCAAGGGTTGGAAGGGGTCTCGGGAGATCATCTAGTCTAACCCTCCTGCTAAAGCAGGTTCACCTAGAGCAGGTTGCGTAGGATTGCATCCAGGCAGGTTTTGAATATCTCTAAAAAAGGAGATTCCACAACCCCCCTGGGCTGCCTGTTCCAGTGCTCTGTCACCCTCAAAGTAAAGAAGTTCCTCCACATATTCAACTGAAACCTCTTACGCTTCAGTTTGTGCCCATTGTCCCTTGTCCTGTCACTGGGCACCACTGAGAAGAGTTTGGCTCCATTCTCATGACTTCCATCCTTAAGGTATTTGTATGTGTTGATTAGATCCCCTCTCAGTCTTCTCTTTTTCAGGCTAAACAAGCCCAGCTGCCTCAGCCTTTCCTCATAGGGGAGATGCTCCAGTCGCCTTATCTTTGTTGCCCTCCTCTGGACTCTCTAGGAGTTCCCTCATCTTTCTTGAACAGGGGAGCCCAGAACTGGACACAGTCCCCCAGGTGGGGTCTCACCAGAGCAGAGTAGAGGGGAAGAATAACCTCCCTTGACCTGCTGGCCATGCTCCTCTTACTGCACCCCAGGATGCCATTGGCTTTCTTGGCAAAAAGAACTGCATCAGGTTCCTCTCCGCCCAACTCTGCAGCCTGTCCAGGTCCCGCTGAATGGCAGCATAGCCTTCCGGTGTATCAGCCACTCCCCCCAGTTTTGTGTCATCAGTGAACTTGCTGAGGGTACACTCTGTCCCCTCATCTGGGTTGTTGAACAAGTTTAACAAGACCGGGCTGAGTACTGAGCCCTGGGGAACTCCACTAGCTGCTGGCCTCCAACTAGACTCTCTGCTGCTGATCAGAACCATCTGAGCCCTGCCATTCAGCCAGTTCCTGATCCATCTAACTGTTCACTCATTTAGTTGTTGTTGTTTTGTTTTTTAATATCAGCTTGTATCTCACATTAAACATCATTTAGCAGATAATACTCTGTGTCTCACTGGGTGATACTAGTTCTTTTCATGCTAACAGTGATAAAACAGCAGTTGACAGTCTTCTGTGGTTTGAACATGCTCTGTGAACTACTGTTTAGAGTGCTTGGACTGCTAAATTCATGGACTCATATCTATGAGGTTGTATTCACTACCACAGATCTGGGTTTTAAGAAGAATCTCAAGTATTGTCCAAAATAAAGTTGATTTAAAACTTTTTGAAAGTTGCATCTTTGAAGTAGCATAATTATTTTTTAGAAATAAATCCTAGTGCAAATGAGGCTGTCCAACTAAAAGCTGTAGCTGAGCAAAAGTTTTGCTTCATCTGTGAGCCAGAAGTAAGCTTCTAAACCTAACTATATTGCCCTGCATGGTTAGCACAAATAAAGTCTCCAAAACTTTTTTTGAGCCTCTGCTCGGTAAATCTGTAGGATTCCAGGATTCTTCGAAGGGAGTGACAATAATTACCTGTTACAGTTAAGACTGAACTTCTGATCTAAACTTTCTTTGTTGTGTGTTCTTTTATCTCAAAATCAAGATGGCATTTCTCTCTGTTCTGCAAAGGAAGGATGATAAGGTAATCTCAAGCTCTGTTTGGAGAGAGGAAGCTGGAGCCCCTGTTAAAATAAGCTAGTTCTTTGTATTTGAGCACTTCTGCAAAGCGAACAGCTTAAGACTGAAATTCACTGCAATGGCAGGAGAACATTCTCCTAGCTTCATGAATACTGAGAAAGGGGAAAATCTGAATTTTATTTTGCATGTGGCTACCATGCATATAATTACTTAAAAGTATAAAGTACTTTGTATGCAAACCTTGCTTGCAGACTCTCTTTGCACATGATTAGATGTATCTGAACAAAATGACCTGAAATGGGTTTGCTGTAAAGAGAGTAGATCCAAGTATGTCTACTGATATGTTACGGACAGAAATATCAGAACCTTAGGAATGCTGCAGCTTGCTAGCCGTTTTTACACATTTGAAGTTCAGTTGCTGACCATTACTGAGGTGGTGATAGTGGGCCTTGCACTGCTTCCTGGTCCAAAATGTCGTAAAGGTAGATCAGGTGTAAACAAATGTAAGAAAATTACTGAAAAAAACATCTTTCAGGTCTGAAAGTCTTCAAAAGTTTGTGGATTGAGTAGTATTTCAGTTTGGGAATGTATGAGTGTGAAATACTTCTATAATGTTTTGTTAGAGTAGCAGAACATACAGTTGTGATTTAACATATGATGGGTTTTTTTTGTTGTTGGTTTTGGGGTGTTAGGTTTTTTTTTTGGTTGGAACACTACGGGTCTTTAGAGTGCAGAGCAGAAAATATGCTGCTTTTGCAAAAATATTCTGTTAATGGAAGTGTGGCTGGTATCCTTTATTTGCTTGGACAGTGACTTTCTTCTTGTCGTAAATACATGAATATGCCTGTTTATAATTTCTTTTTATGATGCATCTGTGCAGCATTCCGCACAACTCTATTTTTGTATGGGTTCTTGTGTTTCTTTTCCCCCAAGGACAAAAATCCCCAGGCAATAAGGGTCAGTGGTTAATTAGAGAAGCTTTACAAAAATACAGAGATAGCCAATGAATCTTGTATCTCAGTATGAAATGATGCAAAAAAAAGCTGGAACGGATTATTTGTGTGCTGCTTCTATGGCAGATATACCCAGAAGAGTGAGTCTGCTATACAGGGCAGTCTTACGAATTTGGGCTGCCGACTCCTGTGTATGCATTTCAAAATCTGTATAATGTGAGTGCTGCTAACTGGTTATAGAACACCCACTACTCTCCAGTCTACAGAATACCTTAGTAAATGCATAAAATGGAAGTCCCAGAGGCACATACAAAGTTTTTTC